ATTTCTCCACTTAGTTCCTGGCACACTTTATTGTGTGTAAAAAGTTTTATGTACTCTGGAAAGGAATACTGTGTATATAATTGACAAGTGTTGGTTGGTGATCATTTTTTAAACTCTCCATTACACTACAGGTAGTGTAAAATCATAATCAACAGGTTTCACCAAAATACATGAACGCTTGTTTTCTTTCTTCTGTTCTGATGTTTATTGGAAAATGATCATGGACAGAACAGCATAGATTCAGGAGGCCTTGACATTGTTTTACAAACTGTTCAATAAATGCAGTTTTTAGCCTATGACATGTTGAAATATACATGTTAGTTGTCAGTTTAAGGATTTAAGTTCTTTTAATACATTATTCCTATATTTTTGTGTCTCTCTTTAAATATCCACAGTAAAATTTTGGTTAAGAAACACCTGAAGGAAAAGGAAATAAGGAACGTTACTTTTCACTAAAATTGTGATTTTGAAAATAAATTATTTAATTAAAACAAGTTAATCAATGAACAATATTTCCTGTCAATATATATGGGGGCCATAAACTGTCCATGTGTGATCCGTAGATTGGGTAAAGTTGTGAGACTTGTCAATTAAAGTGTTTCAAGTAGTACTTTGGTCTTTCCTGTTATTTTTTACAGATAATTTTTAGTGCTATGTATAAAAAAGTGAAAGTGTGTATGGTAGAGGCTGACTTGTAAAACACTGTCATGTATGGAAAGCACTGATGATGGTTTACAAGTTGAAATGTGTGCTAAATAAACAAATATTTTAATAAATAAGAACTTTGCTGAAAGTTATTTTTGACCAAAAAGTAAATACTGATGTTGCAACATCCACACAGTAATCTTATTGACCCACTTTGATTGTTCCCTATTTTCAAACTGTAGGTTTCCTTCCAAGGGTCTCATTTTTAGGTGTTTTTCAGGCTCTAAGTGAAGAATACCTTATGGGCCCATCCATGTCTGTCTGTCTGTTGTAGTTTTACTATTGGGGTAGGAAACCTGCAAGATCAGAAGAAATTTCTGCTCAACACTACCTCAGATCATACTACAAGAATAACCTATGCCACAACAATGGCCCATGTGATTTATTGTGAAGAACAATGGAATGTCAGTGTACTCTAAAGACAAGTAACTGTCCATTTGATTGTGAAAGAGGTTAAAAAAATTAACAGATATTAGCATATCCAAGTTAAGCCAAAACAAACTACACATGTTACATGAGTGTGAACTGTAATACAATCAACACACTATACCAGAGGTTCCCAAGGTGTGGGGGGCGCGTGTTGTTTGTATGAAAAACCTTTTCTAACGAAATATGGAGAAACATTTTTAACATCCTTTGGTTGGTTGAGGCAGTTTAGTTGTCTTACAGTGCTGTATACTCATAGCTAAATTTTATGTCAAATCTGTTTGCTTGCACTTGTTCTAATAGGGGGGGTGTGAAATTTATGAAATGTTTTAAGGTATAAAAGTTTGGGAACTCTGCACTATACTGATTAACACAAATAATGGAGTCTGAGTTTTGGATGCTTCTAGACAGCTTCAGAGAGTTGGTGAAAAAAGTATTCAGCTACATATACCTCTCTCTTTGCGCAGTTGATTTGAGAATGTTATTTTGTTTCTTTCCTTCGATAAAGCCAGCTACATTTTTATGCATGATGCACAGAAGGCTATACAAGTGTTCTTACTGATATGATCATACAAAAAAACTGACAAACCATACACAATATTTACCACTATAATGGATTTAAGCTGTTGTTATGACTTGATAACAGAGACCAGATAACTTCTAAAGGTATGAAATTCACAATCCTTAATTTGTAGACATTCTTTGCACATAAAGAAGAGGTAATGCCTATTAACATCTTTCATCTGCAAAACAACTTGATGATAAACAATTCTTACTTTTATGAAACCCAAAATTAACCTCCTCATAAATAGCTGTGTACTTATACCTGCATTTAATGAAAAAAAGTGATGAGAAGGCTGGAACATAAAACAAAACTGACCGCATTAGAGTACTTTATCTGCCCTCTGAAATTTGCCACTCCAGTCAAAAGTCTATTTAGGCTAAGAGTAATTTGATCTGTGTGTGCCAGAGGAACTTTTAATATCGTAACATTAACTTAATTGTATATAACGAAACAAAAACATTCTTTGCAAAACAAAGTGATAAGTCTATGCTGATGTTACAATCCATTGTTTTAAACAGACTGCTTCTCAACATGTCATACTCTTTCAAAATAACAGTGGTGAAAGGAACCGGACAATGGATCATTGACCCGAAACAGGTCACCCAGTGTGTAATGACATGAAGTACATCATTACATGCTGTAATGTGTATGTGTATATATATATATATATTTGTTGTGTGAAGATGGACATTCAGTAATATTTTAATTATATCTGAAAATTGGCACTACATTACAAACATCAGTAGGATTGTTGGTTTTTCTGCACGCCACTTTTCACACACCCTGTTCACTTGTCTTCAGCGTCCACAATAGTGTCTTCTGGTCACGGGCTAACCCTCAAACTACTACTGCATGTGTATATCATGTCCACTTTAGCAAAAGAGTGTAGGATGGTATCATCCTTGCGATCCCTCACCTCCTACCATGCTCAACAATATTGTGATTTTCTTTGCAGTCGTGGCAGCTTGAAGATTTGCCCATAGCTATTGGGCAGGGATTATGGTTCCAGAACTAATGCAAAGTTTAATTCTTCAGTCATTCGATTAATTTAAGATATAAGCAGATTAGCCTAACTTGTAAGTTCAGAAGAAATTTGACTCAGCTTCATTCTATTTTGAGATATTATTGAACTTCTTGTGCACAGAGAAGAAAATATTGTCAGTTATTGAAAAGCTGTGGAGCCTTTAAATTGAAATTATTTCATTCACTACTGTTCAAATTATTTTCTTGATAGCAGCTTTGTTAGTTTGTGAATCACAGGATTGATTACAGATGACCTACACAGTGGTAATAATTGTTCTAGTCTTAATGCCTGAACCCATATTAATTACACTACCTCTCTTTAAGAACCAGCTCACAGTTTCCACTGACTCAGTCACTGGACTCCGACTGACTGCTGGCTTGCTCATCCATGACCGACTTCACTTGTACATAGTGATTCACCTCTGTTTAAAGGCACCATCATTCTTCCACAGGCTTTGAGACAAGGCACTATCTTTCAGTCCCCTTCAGTGTGCTAATCAAAGCTATGGGAAGCTTCTACAGATATAAGCACACATACCTTGGGTGATGTAAAAATGTTGACTGATGTCACTTGAAGTTTGATTTGAGAGGCTGCTGAGGGGGATAATCACACTCAGCTGGCCAAACCAATGTAGCAATGATACTGAAACTTTAGATTTGAGGTTTTCACAGCAGTGAAATTGTTCACTGTCATCTAGGTTACAGTGCAATGTAGTATTGCAGGTGGTTAACAGTGTTTCAGAGGAAGGAACTGCCTCCATTTTCAGGGCATCGCAACTCAGAAGACAACATATACACAATATTTCATACTATTATTACACACAAAGTCAGTTTTGGTATCACAATGCCTTGAATTCATTCTTCACTCATTGCCATTGAAAACAGGTATAAACTTCCCTGTAAATTTTGATTGGAAAGAATTGGTGCCTTAGAATACATGAATGTTTCTTCATCCAACTCATCATTAGTAATAATTCCATTACACAAACTTTGACTTCATAGTATCAGCACTGAATCAGTATCAAAAGTAAAAAGGCAAGAAAAGTATATTTCAATACACTATGACTTCGGTTATTCATGTAATGGCAATGCATGAAGTGTAGAAGATAGAGTCACATGTGAAAAACTACCAAGGAAGTGATTGTGGCCTAAATTTTACTTCCCACATTCTCAATGGGAGTGGCAGGGAAGACCATATGTTTCAATAGCCACTGAACTAGGTGACAAAACACAAACCAGACACATTATAAAATTAAGGGTTGCCAGGCATCCTGCATAGAACTAAACCTGACACCTGTTGAGACACATAACTGATGTCTGATTTGCTCTGATGGTGTACAGGCAAGAAGAAAAATCATCCAGGCTTGCTAATGAACTCATGTTTATGACCGACTAGTCAACCTCAAGAATGTCAGGAACAGGTCTTTGATTTACTACCCACCTGTCACTTTTGTGTACCTTCTAATGACTTTTCACTAGAGCATAATTGAATAAATATTTCAAGCTAAGCTGAGCATGAAACCAAAATTTATAAATACTGCTATTGACATTAAGGAGACAAGACAACTTTCTGGTGGGAGGAAGTAACAGCTTTGAGGTTTAAAGAATGTATAAATCAGACACAAACCCCTTAGGTCACATTTTTTCCACATTTGTAGTCAACATCTTTTAACATCAAGGTTTTTAATTGTACATTTAACTTACAATCTTGAGGTCAACTGTTTTTCAAACCCATACCTACCTCTAAAATGTATACAACTAAATTACATGACAACAGAGAGAGGGCAACAAAATTCAGAGTGACCATTATTTTGAAACATCTCACACACTCACGCGTGCACACACAGGTCATGGTTGCGTATAACAAGATTGAAGAGTTTTAACAAAGATTCTGCCAGTTCTCAATGATATTTTGGAGGCAGTGAATTAGGAACACAATTTACAAAATTTCAAACGTGTTTATTAACTCTACAACCTTATTTACAGAAACACTTATAATATATCTGGAAAAAGAAAACATTTACCATTGTCAGAAATAAATTTAACTTTCACACTAGTTCAGTCTTTCATCACTTGGAACACGCAGCATCCCAAATTGCTATTGTGTAACTGAGAAATAATTAGGAATGGCAGTGAAAGAAATGTGACAATGTTATATGCATCAACATTTAACAAAACAAAAGCTTATAATGTGTCTGTGCATGTAAGAACAGAAATCACACATTAATTTAATAATTTAAAATACTGGTACTAACTACATTTATCCATGAATTAAAAGCATATTTGTCTCTGCTCTTAATAGTGAGCTAATCTTATTTCTACCAGCTTTACATTCAATACAAAAATAACATTTATATTACTGGTGTACTGGAATACGTTGGAAAACAAAATTACATGAAGTAATTATGATCAAGCCAACTCATCCACAAGCTACTAGCACATTTTTCATCTCCAAAATGTCAAAGAAAACCCCATTTCTCATATTTTAAATCTTTCACTTTAACAACTGGATACATATTGGTAAATCGTTCCATAGTTGCCAAACTCACATTCATGTTTACACCAAGATTGTTTCGTAGCTTTACAGATGCTGTGATACGGTTTGTATCAACAGGGGCTGGGCGACATCCATAATATGAAAACTCAGAACTGATAAGAGGCGACTCACATCGGCTGCTGGGAGTGCTTGTGTCCTCTTGTTCCACATCACAACATGAGGATAACACTGCCATCTTGGTTGTCTGTGAAAGCAGGGGATTGGTTGATTTACGAGCTACTGCATGAAATTTTCCAACACGAGGAAACAATGTTGTGGATTTACGGGCAACACAAAGTCTTTTGGGACTGGACGAAGCATCACAAGCTTCAGACTCACGCTTCATTCCACACTCCCCTCCTACACGAACACCAATATCAGACCTCAACTTTTCTAATTCTTTTTCTGCATCTTCAACATGGACAACTTTACACTTTTTCTCCAGATGGACATCATCTTCATTACAAACCTGACTGGACTCCAATGTTTTAGAAGAGAAAGCATACTTGTAAGGTCTCGCATGTTGCTGAACATGTTCAGACATGCTTTGGCTATTGTCAGAGGTAAATGTGCAAATGAGACAACTGTATTTCTTGGCAGTCACAGTGGGAGTGCTACTTTTCTCTACACTGTACCTGAGCTGCAGATGTGAATGGCACATGGCATGATGAACTTGGATTATATCTTCAGAGTCACAAGTCTCTTTACACCACAAACACATGTATTTAGCTGTGACCACAGGTGCAGGAGTAGGCAAAATTGAACTAGCTGAAGATATGTTTGCAACAAGTAAATCCTTGCCTTTTAAATCTGATGTGAAATTTGCCTTTGAGGATCTAACGAGATATCTTAAATCCTTTCCTGCATGATCCATATCAAAATGTTTTTTTAATGTGTTCACTGTGAACACAGAAAAGTGACACTCAGCACATTCGTAACGTGTGAAAGTGGCTTGATTAACTTGGAATGGTTTCTCTGGATGTACAGACTTTTGGTGTGCCTGTAACATAGCTAATGTTCCTCGTACTTTGCAGTATGAACACTGGAGAGCCGGTCTCCTACCTGCAGCCCCATTTTGACCCTTTAGGAACTGCTTCATGTTGACCTCTTTGTACTTGAATGGCAGACCTTGCCTGATCAGCCCACTTGGACCTATCAGCTTATTCTTATGCTTTTCTTGCCAATGCTGATGTATACTCACTACTGATGTTCCACGCTGAGGGCAATAGAAACAGCAGAAGATATTTGGAAGTGGAGTGGTGTTCTGCTGTTCTTCTTCAACTTTATTTACTGTAGATACAACATCGATATCCTCTGAATCATCACTAGGTTCAGAAATGTCAGGTTTAGAACGTCTGTTACGTTGCAATGGACGAATATCTGGTTGACTTGGAATAGGTTTTTCTATAACACGCAACTTTTTTAATGGATGAATTTTAGCTGAATGTTTCTTTATTTCATACTCTCTGACCCCTTCAAAATCACAGTAACCACATTTGAAAGGTTTCTGCACCCAATGGCGCATCATATGGTATTTTAAGTCACTTGCACTACGACAACAATAATCACAATACAAACACGTATTAAAACTTTGGTCAGCAGATGGCAATGAAGATGAAGAACTACCTTCTGATTCATCAGGTGAATTGGCAATTCTCTGTCGCTTCTTTAGAGGACTACCTAACAGGGAAGAACTAGCCGAAGAAGATGCAGCTGTGAAAGGCATGTTAAGATACTTTGATTCTGAACCCGGCCCCAAACCATATTCCCGCTGCCAGAATTCATCATCCAACTTGACACAAGAGCCTTTTGTATGTGGTGAAGATCTTGGAGGCAGGTCAGGATGATCGACCTTGTTGTGATTAAGCACGCTCTCCTCTGAATTTGCAACATACCCACAGTGTCCACATGTCCAACTGCAACAATCAGTACACATACTACTAAAAATCTCACGATAACATTACCTGAAAAAATTCCGTGCACAATTTTTCACATTTCAAAACAATCATATCATCACATCATTCATATGAGATTCACAGTACAAATGTGGGGAATTCCTGTTCTATGCCGATGTACGAGGGTCGCTCATTAAGTAATGCCCCACATTTTTTTTCTCAGCCAATAATGAAGATAGAAAAATGTACTTTTACATGCTTGAGATTTGATGTTTCCCGCGTTCGTGTACGGAGTTTCAAATGATTCCAACCGATAGCGGAGCTGTAGTGAACTGTTAAAATGGCGTCTGTGAACGACTCTCGTTACAAGCAACGAGCTGTAATTGAATTCCTTGTTGCTGAAAAAGAAACGGTGGTGAACATTCATAAACGTTTGTGTGCTGTGTATGGAAGCTGTGCAGTCGATAGGAGCACCGTTGGTCGCGGGGCTAAGAGAGTTAAAGCTTCAGGAAGTGAAGAAACCGAGCTCCGTGATCTGCCGCGCTCGCTTTCAGTCAGCAATGGAAGTGTGATTGCAATTATCCGGGCTCTTGCATATTCGAAGGTGTGCGCAAGATGGGTTCCACGAAGTCTCACAGCAGACCACAGGATTCAAAGGAAAACGATTTCTTCTGAATTGTTGGAGCGTTTTGATGCTGAGGGAGAGGTCTTTCTGTCCCGGATCATTACAGGTGACGAAACCTGGATACACCACTTTGAGCCAGAGACAAAAAGGCAGTCAATGGAGTGGCATCATCCTCAATCACCGAGAAAGAAGAAATTCAAGACAACTCCCTCCGCCGGAAAAGTCATGATGACTGTCTTTTGGGACAGTGATGGGGTCATTCTTGTGGATGTGATGCCAAGAGGTGCGACCATCAATTCAGACGCGTACATCAGGACCCTGAAAACCCTCAAGAAGCGTTTTCGACGAGTTCGGCCTCACAAGCATCCAGCAGAAATTTTGCTCCTGCACGACAATGCACGCCCTCACACAAGTCTGAGAACCCGGGAAGAAATCACCAAATTGGGTTGGACGGTGCTACCCCATCCACCCTACAGTCCAGATCTGGCACCCTCCGACTTCCATCTCTTTGGGCCCCTTAAAGATGCTATCCGCGGAACAAGATTTGAAGATGACGAGAGCGTGATTCAAGCAGTGAGGACATGGCTACGGGGACAGGACAAGAGCTGGTACCGGCAAGGCATGCATGCCCTTGTTCCACGCTGGCGTAAAACCGTACAAGTTGATGGGGACTATGTGGAAAAATAGTATGTGTAAAGGAAACATTGATTTATATTGTCACTAAATTTGAGCCATCTTGAATAAATATGTTCTGAGGAAAAAAATGTGGGGCATTACTTAATGAGCGACCCTCGTAGTTTACTAAATCAATTAGTATAACCACTTCCAGATTATACCGATGTATTATCAAACAATAAGACCCACTATATAATTCAACAAAATGCAGTCTTCATCAGATTGTTAATATACAATGATAAATAATACTACTGATTACTACAAAGTACTCAAATAACTTCATTAGGAATGTAATGAAATTTATGATTCAATAAAGATGGGGAACTTGTTGACTATTTACCTATCAGCTCAAGCAGACTGCTAATTCACAGAATAAGTGTGTGTGTGTGTGTGTGTGTGTGTGGGGGGGGGGGTTGTTTGCATGCACATGTGAATGAGTTAGGAATGCGCAACCTCAGGTGTTTGTTTTTACATCAGGAAGAGATGTAAAAAGAAGCCACATTTTTTATGAAGGCTACATTCAGTTTTTATGCATAAGGTACTTACATTGACAGCTTGAGGTGACTATGACGAATGTGCAGCTTCAGACCACGGATCAAAGCAAACTTCATGTTACAATGTTTGCATGGGAACCTCAACAATTTCAGATCATCTTTAGTTGCTACAAAAGATAAAAACAGATTAACATGTGTGTATGTGTGCATATGATAATATTAATGAAAACATTAACATCCTCAATATAAGCAAGAAAGCATTAATGTAATGTCCTTCTGTTCATCAAGAAACATTACACTTTCAAAGACAACATTTCTTATACCATTTTTGAACTTAAAACATTTTTCTTTCCTAAATATTATTATCTTATACACATATACCAGCTTCATTTCTGTCACATTTTTATATTGGCCAGCTAGCTCCTTACAGGGATGAACCAACAATTATTAATGAAAAATAAATATCAAATAATTATTCATCACTTCAAATAAGTAAAATTATTAAAAAGAAAGATCCAATAATTATTCACAAAATCTATCAACACAGCTGTACACAACAGGGAATTAAATATCTGTATCACTGTACTGGCTAATAGGACTTGAATAGAAAATCATTCATACCACAGTCTTGTTAATGATTCAAGTACTGTACATACAAACAAAAGAAATTAAGAGTGGATAGATATATTCTAAACATCAATACACATATTTTCCTAATATATTTTTTATGATTGCATACTTAACTGGCCTTAAAATACACGAACAAGTCAACTGAATTAGCTAGAAATAGTGTAAATCAAACTTGACAGCCTACACCAGTGGTATTTAACCTGGGGTATGCATACCCCCGGGGGTACGCGAAGACATCTTAGGGGGTACGTGAAATTTCAAAAAATATATATATTATTTTATGATAAACACCGAATAAGCAGTAATGTAATTTATTTTATAGGTAGATTATATTCTATGTATAACTTGAATTATACACCAACAAAGTTGAAGAGAAATTATATCTGGGGGTACACAAACAAAAAAGGTTGAATACCACTGGCCTACATCACTGATCTTAATAGTAAGGCATTGCTGCTAATAATTATTTCAGACAGAAATTAGATTTCTATGCACAGAATTACTCATGACTAGAGGCAATGGTACGTGTTACTACTTGATTTATCCATTCAGTTTAAATGGATACTTCAAGATGAGCAACAGGTCATTTATAAGACACCTATTGTTTAAGGGAGATCATGAACAAAGTTAATGATACCTCATGTAAGTTCAAACCACAAAATTCAATTTTTTACCAAATTACATGGCGCTACAACCCAGAAGACAGCCATCTTTGTTGTTTGCACTGTCTCTACACTGGAAATCATTATGAAACACATCTAAATCAAACAAACACAAACCACAGCCTCAACTTTTTTAAAACAATACTGTCATAAGCAACACCCTAATTTTAGGGGGTGTACATCTGGGAAAAAGTGTGCGCATAAATACAGTCTTTTGGGGCTTTGGTACTTGTCACACAAATTTCACTATGATGAAACAAACCTTTCATTCTGATGTATGGAGAACTGTCACTGTCACATGCATTACTGTCCACTGGGATGAGTGAAGTGGCAGTCTTATTGGGCACCTTTATACTGTCTGCTGCATCTCGTAGCCCAGGCACTTTCTTCTTTGAAGTGCCAATGTCACTGTCACTACTTGTGCTGCCAATGGAATTTATGTCTTCTTTTTCCACAAGGGAAAACTTTACATCTGAACCTTTGGCATAACAAGTACTTAAACATTACCAATCAGTTTAAATCTGTGTATAGTGGCAAAGTAGGATAAATTACATTTATTTCCTCATGCAAATAATAATCTTTAAAATTTGGGAAATGAACAGAGGACACAGTACATATTACCACTTGCAGTGATGCTTATGGTGTAAAGTGGACCCCTTTTGATAAATTTTCAAAGGGTGCAAGCAATATGCACTTCTTAATGAGAGAACATCTTAAAAAGAAGAAAGCTTAATTTTTTTACAAAATTATTTTTTCCCCCTATAGACAACTAATATAATAAACAATAAAGATTTTATTAAATATAAAAATACCCATAATTTAAAATTGGAAGTGTTTATTGAAAATAAATTTATGTATACTCTGTACAACAGAAATGAAGTTCTTGAAACATTCTGTCCCAAACTGGAAGTGATGTAAACATTATTCATAGACTCCTTGCATTTGTCTGTATGTGACTTTTCTATACATTCCATGAATACAATGATTTATGCCAGACGTCTGTTAAACGAAAACATCAATATGCCTGCCTAATTAGGGGAGGGGGAGAATAAATGTTAATGACTTTTCCAAGTCCTCTGAAAGCAAAACAGAGGTGAATGATTTTCTTTGGTTGGTTGCCCAATGTCTAAATACTGTATTTCTTTTATTTTTCCATGCTAATTGTTAATTGAATCCAACAAACAAAATCATTTGCACAATATACACTTCAGAATTTTTTGTTTTGTTTTGCAGAGTATACTAATGACAAAAAACAAGAATTACTATGTTAGCCCATAAAGGGGTGTTTTCAAGACCTGACATCTTTAATGAGATTTCCAAAATCTTTGAGCTTCAATCATGGATCTCATTCATCTCAGCATGGCATTACATGCCAATGCACCACAAATAATAATAATGACGATTACCTTTCGCTTATATACAAACAGTTACTGGACTATGTGTGCTTTACAAACAATAATTAGACAATCTTTTTTGAATATCACAGTCTGCATATTTCAGTATCCATTTCCAGTTGTCCTTGGTACAAGGTTCACATGGAATATTTGAAACATACATTTAAATAACATAACAAGTGTACAATTTCAATGATTGTCTCAACCCTAGGGTTTGTCGGTTTTTAAAAAACAGGTTTAAAAACAGTTTTTTTGGATAAATTTGTAAAATTCGAAAACCGGTTTTTAAAATTTAAAAAAACCGGTTTTAGATAGTAGAAGTAATATGTAAAAAAATTTCTGTTAAATGAATTAAAAAATTTAAAGACTGAAATTAGTTCCAAATTATTAAATGCTTTAGAAGAACGAATTCAAGAAAGAAGACACGTTAGATTGGTAACCCTTTTCTATATTTGCAAAATCCAAAAAACATTTCAACAAATAAATCTAGTGTATTTCTACTAGCTTTGAAACATGATATTATTAAGTTATCTGGAAAAATATTGTCTAGAATATATCCAAATTCTTATATGGCAACAGATTCTGATGATGAATATATCGGAGACGGAGAAACTATTAATCAGGGCAATGCTCTAAAAGAAGCCATGGAAAAATCAATTCATAGGTTTCTTGAGAAACCTGAAGAAATAATATCAAATCCAAAGACACTGAAGGCCGAATTTTCAGTATTTGAGGCAACCAATAAAAGAACAAAGAATTTAGATTTATTATTTGATATACTGAAAACGATAAAACCAATATTAAGTTTAAGGTTTATATATTTTAATGATAAAACCAAGTTCAGTAGCCAGTGAGAGAGTATTTTCTGTTTCAGGCAATTTTGTATCCAGAATAAGAACAAGATTAAGTAATCGTTCAGTGGACATTATGTTTTTTGAAATCATATTTCCTGAAGAAAAATACTAAATGAAATAAAAATTTATATTTTGTACGGATTTTAGTTATTTTAGTTTTTATTTGGTTTTGTATGGAGTATATTTTATTTTGTTATATTTTTGCAGTTCCATAAATATTAAATAAACTGAAAAAGTTTAAAATATGTATAAATATTTTTTACTGTTTTAATTTTTTTGTAAAAACTCGAAAACCGGTTTTTTGGAAATACTGGAATTCGAAAACCGGTTTTTGTATAAACCCTACTCAACCCACTACCCACTGAATAGGAGGCTGGGTGGGCCCCAGAGCCAGCCTGGATGCAGAGGCTAGAGGAAAAATCTTCTGCCCCTGTTGGGGATTGAACCCCTGTCATCCAGTTTGTAGTCAGTTACTATAGTGACTGAGTTACACCAGACCTGTGGGACATTTAATTCTTACTCATTCCTGGGGACAGAATATTTACATATTTAAGCTACAAAATGAAATATTTTGTTTGGGAATGGAAAACACTGTTTCCGCCTTGTGATATTAACATTATGTTCAGAGAAGTACACAGAATTGGAATACTGACACCAAAATATTTTAAAATTAATTTTGGCACAATAAACTTATCAGAATTATGAAGGAATAGTATTTTATTTCCTTAGAAATTAAGCTTGGTATATTGGTAGTCTCAGAAATGTACCACAAAAAGTCCTACAACACATGCATCAGAACGTTACACAAGAGTCACTTCCCGCACTTCAGGCACACAACAAACCACTTCTGTGGCCATGCTTCCTTCTTAGAAGGTGGATGCTTGCCTATAAAATGCCTTTCTGTTAGTCACTGTGTTGTCAGAAGATACACGGCCTAGCACATTGCACTCCAGCACATATTTCCCAAACAGTCCTTCAACTAACAGAATTCTGAATGATAGCTGATCAATTCTTTTCCCAGTGTTATTTGTGTAACATCTTGACATTCAGAAGCCTGAAAAACAGCTTCATACACCACTTGTTCATCCACTTTCTCTTAAACAAATGAAAGTGTAGCAGTTGGTCTTTCATGTCAACCACTCCCATGAACTGATTGTAATCCAACACTGAAATGGGGCTGACTGTTTCTTTGCCTCTAATTGCAAGTCTTGCCATCATGAATGTGATCTGTGGAAATCACAGTGACAATATTCTTGTCACTCTGCTTTGTGGCAGAAACAGGGCCAGAATGCTGCACTATTATTTCACCTTTTTTTTTATTTTGGTGTCTTTAACTTTTTTAGGAACATTTGGAATATTATTATTTTGGTTCAGTTTTAGTGTACTGACACAGTCTGTCTTATGTACAGTCTTAAGTGTTTGGGCTAGACAGGGTAAGTTATAGAACTTATCCATCCACACCAGTGGCAGTGGAGCCACTTGTGAGGTCCTGGTGAAACTGTTTAGTGAGGCCCCTTGAGAAAAAAATTTATGCAAGGCATTTTAGGTTATTTAAGTTATTATGATTTTAATAATTATAATTTTTCCTCTCTAGACAGCCTTGTTGTTTTATACAATGCTTTAATTAGGTCAAAGCTTGAGTATGCCTTGGTCGTATGGAATAATCTTACACAGACAGATTGTAATAAATTAGAAAATATTCAAAGGAAATTTGCCAGTTTGTGCAATTACCGATTTTTTTTCAGTTTAATATCACACGTAAATATGAATTGATCTTATCTACTTTAAATTTTATAACACTTTATTACAGACGACGACATCTTGATGCTTTATTTCTTGTTAATGTCTTTAAGGGCAAAATAAATTGCCATTCCATTATGGACACTGTTCGTATGCGTGTGCCGGAGAGGCAAAGAGAATTTTCTACTTTTAGTGTGAGCAGTGCGCTAAGACATACTCCTTCAGCCAGGTGCGTCATCGTTGCAAATGACATGTAAATCTTTGGAAATATTTAGTATAAACACTGTCTCCCTTGAGGGCACCTTCTCAATAAGGGAAATGATCCAGATAGGTTGTCTTGATAGATGATCTAGCTAGGTTATTATTTCCTTGTATTTCTTCAGCATTTTACATTTATATTAGTGTTTCCCTAGGTGGATTATTTGCTTTTATTTGTATTTCTTCATTTATTTTGTGTATTATATTGTTTCTATTTTGGGTTTGCCTATATTTGACTGTTATATTTAATACTGCACATATATATGTTTAGTTAATTTGTTTGTGAAATATTTTTCATTATTATTGTAGTGCCTCAGGGTTTTCACCCTAGGCCCCTTACTTTTTAATATATTTATTAATGATATTTGCGACTCCATACATAATTCACAGTGATGACTTAAAGATATTTTGTAGTATTAGCAATGTTCAAGACTGTAAACTGTTACAGCACGACATCCATTCAGTGCAAAATTGATGTCTTGTGAACAGGATGCAACTTAAGTAAAACGACTGTTATACCATTCACCCGAAAGACAAACAGTATTTACTTTAATTACAAACTGTGTAACAACCTGGTGGCTCGCTCTCATTGTGTTAAAGATCTTGGTGTTCCATTGGACTGCAAGCTTTATTTTCACCAGCACATCAACTATATATTCTCACAAAGCTTAAAAATGCTTGGTTTGATTCGGTACATTACTTTTTCCTTCTCCACTATTGATAGCCTTTTGTACAGTACCTTAGTCCGTTCTAAAATTGAGTATGCATCCGTTGTTTGGAACTCTATTACTAATACTGACTCCTTTAAACTGGAAAGGATTCAAAGTAAATTTGTAGTTCTATGTTACACTAGATTTTTTAATGGCATTTGTGCCTATAATTATGATGATATATTAGTCAGATTAAATTTCTTATCGTTGCATTTAAGGAGGAGGCTTTTGGATGCGCTTTTCCTCGTTAATGTTTTTAAAGGCAAAATTAGTTGCTCATCTGTTTTTGATACAGTTAGTCTCTGCATACCCACTAGGTCCATCAGAGACTACTCTACCTTTACTGTACAACGTAATTTCAAGGCCAGTCGCTCTGCCAGATGTGTTTCTGTTGCCAATGCAGTCTGTATGATCATCGACACCTTTAACAAAGATTGTGTTTTGCTTACTGATGTCAGTCAGCTTCTTAAACAATAATCATTGTTTTTTATTGTTTATTTAGTATAACATTTTATTTTGTATGTTTGTCCAAAATTGAACTGATTTTAATTTAATTATTATTTTACTTCTGCATAATAAGGGGTCCACAGTCGCCGCGCAGTCTGAGGCGTGGGCCTTGTGCCACTTGGTCGCTGGGACCGTGGGTTCGAATCCCACTCAAACCATGGATGTTTGCCCGCGTTTTTCTGTGTTGTGCTGTCCTGTGTACAGGTAGAGGCCTTGCAACAGCCCAATCCCTCATACAAGGAGTCCTACCGAATGTCTATAGATCGAGCCAACTTAAAGTTGGGACCCGTAGTGCTCAAGCACTTGAAGAACGGGTCGTTCCCAGTATCCATAATATTTAGCTCATTTACTTATTAATTATTTTGCAATAAATTAATATTGTAGACTTATATATTCAGTTCATTGTTTGTTTGCTTTTGTATTGTTGTTAGTGCTTGCTTGTTATTGGCCTTTTTGGCTGTCAAGCACTTTAATAAATGAATTGAATTATCATGTTTGCCTGTTATTGGCTTCTTGCTGTTGGCAAACACTTAAATAAATAAATGAATTGAATTGAATGATTTGAAAACCCTCTCTCTAGAATTGACTCCTCTGATTCATGCAAATCATCTACCAGCTCTCCATTTTCACTTTCACCTAAACCTTTGTTACTTGAACTTGCATCATCATATCTTAAATAATTTTAAAGTGACCCATTTAATTCTAGATTCTGGGTCTGCCAGTTTTGAGTTTAATTCCAGACAGGGTACCCCAAGATGGAAGCTAACTTGACATTTGGGCTTTACTTCTAGTTTATATGCTGAGGAATGGGCTTAAGACAGGTTTTTATATTAGACAGCAACTTTCTTAATACAGTGAAACCTCTATCCATCGTTCCCGGAACTATCGTTTTCCCGGATGCATCGTCCGTTTTGTTCGGTCCCGAATACATCCCATATAAAATAATGTTACATTTTCCCGCTTCTATCGTTCCTCGAACTATCGTTTTATCGCATCGATCGTTCAAAAATCGTAGTCCCGGCCCACAATTTTCCCGCAATGATCGTTTCTGAGAATTTAAAATGCTAGGTTTTGAGATAAATTAATACCGAAAGACGCACAATGTTTTTGGAATAAACAGTAGCGGTAACCTGTTATGTCGCCCAACCAGCACATTCTTTTGGAATGAGGGTCAGCGGTGCAGGGGTGATAGTTGGAGTGAATGGCAGTGCCCATTGTCAGAAATTTTACGATTTTAATTAGGGTGCACTCATATTTCGTTCCAGCGATGCCAGATGGCATGTGCAGTGTGAATTTCTTCACAAATGCTTTTATTACAAGTACAAAGGAAAGGCGAAAGTGCTGCTGTGGATGTGGAAATAACGGAGCTGTGGCTCGAGAGACTGCCAACACTGCTGGAGGGATATGAGCCGCGGGACATTTATAATGCGGATGAGACCGGACTTTTCTACAACGCCCTCCCGGATAGGACTCTGGCATTGAAAGGTGAATCTTGCCACGGGGGAATACGTGCAAAACACCGAATTACTGTTCTTCTGTGTGTTAACAGTGACGGTAGTGACAAACGGGTTCCGATTGTAGTTGGAAAATCACGAAAACCGCGTTGTTTCAAAAACATGAAAAAACTTCCGGTGAAATATCACGCCAACAAAAAGGCTTGGATGACAACAGACATCTTTACGGCGTTTTTAAGTTCTCTGGATGCCTCCATGGGCGCACAAGGCAGAAAGATTTTGCTGTTTGTTGATAATTGTGCCGCTCATCCGAAGGACACGACATTTCTACGAAATGTGAAAGTCGTGCAGTATCCAATGTAATGAAATTATATTAGGAATTCATTACATGTATGTTACATTTGAAAAATGCTGACAACTGAATCTTGGGAAATCTGGGGACTTTCTGACTAAGACATGCCAAGCATATGTTCAAAACAACAGAGATTTTGGTAAACAAGGGCAGTCATCACCACAGTCTTTCAATGCCTGCAGATACCATTTAAACACTAGAGAACTGCTTCATGTTGTCATGACCAACCAATGAGTTTGAAGCAGGCTCCTCACATCAAATTTGCATCATTTGAATGATACTGATTCTGCCAATAGGTAGACCATTTAAAATTCAAAGTTCTGAACATAAATCTCATCTCCACCCCATGTGCAAGTAGAAGTTTGTTAAATGTCACCTCTACATCTTCTCAGACAAAAATCATCCCACTTCAGCTACCATCCGAAACTAATCAAATTACCCTGAGATATAATTAATACCCATTCTAAGCAGCCGAAGAACCACGGGTATAAAAGGAGGCAGTGGACTATTAGAATTCTTTTGCAGTAACTCAGCTTTTTGGTTTGTTTTAAATGCAATGGATTCAAATTTCCTTCCTAAATCATCCCTTATCTTATGTTCCCCACCAGTTCTTGGCCCACAACAATTAAAGTACTTAAATTAAAAGCGGCAGTCAAACACACATAATATAAACATACAAACCCAAATAACACCAGCACTGATTAAACTAATTAAATTCAATGTGAATGCAATAAAACAACATGTAAAATGCCATTTATAAAATTTTTGAAGGTCCTTCAGAAGATGTATCAATTCGGAACAAAAATCTGCTACACCAAAAACTGCAGACAATATACAGTACTGTGCGAATTAGCTGGGACAAGCGAAGGAACGCTAAGTCCAAGCCCTGCAATGGACACGCAATCCCCCAAACACCCACCCAAGGTCATGTTTTGGGGATGTTTCACAGCTTCCGGGCCACAGACGCTTCACCCCATTGAAGGAATGATGGACAGCAAAAAGTACATAGGCGTTCTGGAGGTGAAAATGGTCCCAACACTGCGGAAGCTGTTTCCTAATGGCGATGGGGTATTTCAACATGATCTGGCTCCATGCCACAATTCTAAGCTTGCTAAGAGCTTCTTTACCCAGCAACATTTGAAGGTATTGGAGTGGCCAGGAAATTCACCCGATCTAAACCCCATTGAAAATTTGTGGGCCATTATTAAAGCGCGCATATCTAAGATGGATTGCACGACGAAAACCAAAATGATAGAAAGTGTCATGAAAGTGTGGTACCACGGCCCTGAAGTGACGGAAATGTGTGGAAAGCTAGTGGCATCAATGGTTGAGAGGGTGAAAGAAGTAATTAAAGCTAAGGGGGGTCACATTCACTATTAACTACACTATTAAACAAATAAATATTTTAGTTGAGTCTTTGTTACTGTATTTTCCTATTGTCCCAACTAATTTGCACAGTACTGTATATAAAACCTTGCAAATTTAAATCATAACATGCAAATACCATTAAATACTATACCCAAATTACAAAAATGATGTTTTTAGCCCTTTAAAGTTAACCAAAAATAATGTCTTATGCTGCAAACTAAATTACAAAACTTCAAGCCAACACATATTTGTGTTTTTTGTGTACCAATTGGATTTGATGCTTATGGGCCCAAGTGATTGCGGAGATGGGAGGGGAGGGGGGGGGGGGGG